ATCAACTCTCACATGAGGAGTTGACGTGGGGAGGATGAGTGTTTTCTACAGTCAGGACAGCTCACAGTTTACCTGGCAAGAGGAGACGTTTTCCTGAAAATATCCCAAATGACTGACCATGAAACTGCAGTATATGGCTGAATTTCTGTGCACAGACAGGTAAAACAGGCGCAACACTTTAGGAAAGGTCTGGAAACACATGTAGTAATCTGTGTAGTTTGTCAAGAGCTTGCTCCTGTCTTAATCTTTAAAAGCTGTTAACCCTGGCATGACCAGTGCAACACACACACACACACACACACAAATATATCAAACAAACGTGCTATACTTCATCTTTTTCAGGCTTGATGACAAGCTGCACTTCATAACACATATTAATGAACTGACTTATAAGCAAAACTGGCATTCTTCTGCAAAAATAAGAGATGTATTACCCAGAACTGCAGAAAGCAAATTGTTCAGTCAACTTTTTTGTACGATATGGACTATGGTGATCTAATTTATATGCACTCTCCTGCCTCTACTGTGAAACCTCTCGATGCAATTTATCATTTCCCCTTATAGGTTCATAACTGGGGATGGCTTTAGAACGCATCGTTGTATAGCATATTATATGAGAAAGTTGAGTGACTGTCACTGGAAGAGAACTATAGGTCATCTTCACGCCACACTAGGACCCAAGACTATGTGGTCCTTGAACTTGATCATGTTAGTACTGAGACTGGGAAACTAGCTCTTAAATACTCTGCTCCACACAGGTGGAACAATCTGCAGAAGGTTGCAAAATTAGACAAGTTAATCCCTTTTATTAATGAATTTAAATCTCCTTTGACATAGAGCCGTGTGAATGCATGTTTTCTTTGAATTGATGTTATCCCTTATGTTGATGCCTTTTTGTTGATGTAACTTGGTGTACTTTTATTGTTTTATATGTAATCAGATAGATAGATACTTTATTGTCACTGTATATAAATACAGTGGGTACGGAAAGTATTCAGACCCCTTTAAATTTTTCACTCTTTGTTTCATTGCAGCCATTTTCCAAAAATCAAAAAAGTTCATTTTATTTCTCAGTAATGTACACTCAGCACCCCATCTTGACAGAAAAAAACAGAAATGTAGAAATTTATTAAAAAAGAAAAACTGAAATATCACATGGTCATAAGTATTCAGACCCTTTGCCGTGACACTCATTTTTAACTCAGGTGCTGTCTATTTCTTCTGATCATCCTTGAGATGGTTCTACACCTTCATTTGAGTCCAGCTGTGTTTGATTATACTGATTGGACTTGATTAGGAAAGCCACACACCTGTCTATATAAGACCTTACAGCTCACAGTGCATGTCAGAGCAAATGAGAATCATGAGGTCAAAGGAACTGCCTGAAGAGCTCAGAGACAGAATTGTGGCAAGGCACAGATCTGGCCAAGGTTACAAAAAAATTTCTGCTGCACTTAAGGTTCCTAAGAGCACAGTGGCCTCCATAATCCTCAAATGGAAGACGTTTGGGACGACCAGAACCCTTCCTAGAGCTGGCCGTCCGGCCAAACTGAACTATTGGGGGAGTAGAGCCTTGGTGAGAGAAGTAAAGAAGAACCCAAAGGTCACTGTGGCTGAGCTCCAGAGATGCAGTCGGGAGATGGGAGAAAGTTGTAGTAAGTCAACCATCACTGCAGCAATCCACCAGTCGGGGCTTTATTGCAGAGTGGCCCGACGGAAGCCTCTCCTCAGTGCAAGACACATGAAAGCCCGCATGGAGTTTGCTAAAAAACACCTGAAGGACTCCAAGATGGTGATAAATAAGATCCTCTGGTCTGATGAGACCAAGATAGAACTTTTTGGCCTTAATTCTAAGCGGTATGTGTGGAGAAAACCAGGCACTGCTCATCACCTGTCCAATACAGTCTCAACAGTGAAGCATGGTGGTGGCAGCATCATGCTGTGGGGGTGTTTTTCAGCTGCAGGGACAGGACGACTGGTTGCAATCGAGGGAAAGATGAATGCGGCCAAGTACAGGGATATCCTGGACGAAAACCTTTTCCAGAGTGCTCTGGACCTCAGACTGGGCCGAAGGTTTACCTTCCAACAAGACAATGACCCTAAGCACACCGCTAAAATAACGAAGGAGTGGCTTCACAACAACTCCGTGGCTGTTTTTGAATGGCCCAGCCAGAGCCCTGACTTAAACCCAATTGAGCATCTCTGGAGAGCCCTGAAAATGGCTGTCCACCAACGTTTACCATCCAACCTGACAGAACTGGAGAGGATCTGCAAGGAGGAATGGCAGAGGATACCCAAATCCAGATGTGAAAAACTTGTTGCATCTTTTCCAAAACGACTCATGGCTGTATTAGATCAAAAGGGTGCTTCTACTAAATACTGAGCAAAGGGTCTGAATACTTATGACCATGTGATATTTCAGTTTTTCTTTTTTAATAAATTTGCAAAAATTTCTACATTTCTGTTTTTTTTCTGTCAAGATGGGGTGCTGAGTGTACATTACTGAGAAATAAAATGAACTTTTTTGATTTTTGGAAAATGGCTGCAATGAAACAAAGAGTGAAAAAATTTAAAGGGGTCTGAATACTTTCCGTACCCACTGTATAAAACGAAATGCAGTTTGGAGCAAACCATTGAACATAGCAGCTTTAAAAATAGTATTTATCAATAAGATAATAAGAATATCGATAAAATTGATTGCATAAAAGAATCAAATGAAGCAATAAAACAGAGATTAAAGTGCATGGGCAAGGAAAGCATGATAAGTTAAAATGAGGCAATAAATACATACAGGAATAGTGCCTGCATCACATCTTTAAATCCAACTGGTCCTGGCCTAGCTTCCTTGATAAAGTGCATTTCAGTGTGCATTGTTCAGTTTCGCATAAATGATCAGGGTGCCCTTGTAAAAGAGTTTGCCCTCAGTGGCTCTCCCTGTTAAATAAAGGTTATAAAATAAAATAAAAAATAAAATACTGCACAGGGCTACATGTTGGGTTTTTTGTTTGTTTTTTCTGCTGCTGGCACAGTTTGACATTAATCAGTCTAAAACAAGGCACACAGTGTTACAGCTGCAGATAATCGTGCACGAGCGCGCTGGCACGCTCAATTTGAATGCATAGGATCCCATGATGTCCGAAAAGGATAATGTTGCTATTAAGTGACAAAAAGGGTGCAAGGAATTCAGAGTGCTGTTAAAGTTAACAGACTGGGATGGTCACACTGCGTTTGAGATTGTTAACTGATTAGCTGACATGCAAACTCAACGACACTGCATCACACGCAGCGCACGCGACCAGAAAACGTCCTAGAAGAAAGACAGAAGACGGACAGCATCCAGATGTCAAGAAGCCAACTAAAAAGAAACGCATCTAAAAGTGACCCTTGGTGAAACGAAAATAAGCAGAAAAGGAAGAATGTAGAAAATAGTTCGCCTACCCATTTCGTCAGCTCCCGTGGAAACTGGCCCTGAGACAAAAAGTGAGAGAACTCCCAGATGATGGCCACAGGTTGTTTGAAGGGGGGCTGTGTGCAAACGACTGGACGTCCCGTTTTACAATCGGGGTGGGGGCGGGTGGAGGGTGAGGGGTGACGTCACGGCTACAAATGGATCAGACTTCATTAATCCAGAACACACTGCAAGTGTCCTTATTGCTCCTCTAAGCTTATGAAATATAAAGGACAGTATTGAACTGCAAGGACAATGTCTTTATGTAGAGGGCATTGTTAACCAAAGTGCTGTAAGGAGCTGTGTTATTTATTTACCTAATTACTAAATTTCCACATATTTGCTACAAACTTATGATGACAATTTTATATGCATAATAAGGATTGACATTAACTGAAGGTTTCAAACCTTTTTGGCTTGCCAGTCAAAAAAAACTGTCCGGGGCCCCATCTCATGTTTCACAAGTGCATGAGTTGTTAGCCAAAGAGGAGTTTCTCGTCTAAACCTCACCGATGGTTTCATTTCAAAAACAGTTTGAAGCTTAAAGAGATAAAAGTATCCAATATTTCACAAAGATTATAAAAACATCCCAAAAAAAGGTAACATATTCGTATAGATTTGTATAGAACAAGTATGATTTCTTCTTCTCCGATAAACCACCTCATGTCCCCTCAGATTTATCTGAGGACCCCTAGGTTAGGAACCCCAGGACTGAACTACTATACTGTATATGAAGTAGCTCCACCTCCAGCAGCTACAACAGTACAATTCTGATTACACATTGCTGCATGATTATTAACAATCAACAATGTCATATAGGTGGCGATAGAGCAGTGGATAAGACATGTGCCTTTGGTGTGAGAGATCCGGGTTTAATTCCCACTGTAACATCCACCAATATCCCTGAGCAAAACACTTAACCCCTAGTTGCTCCAGCAGTGTGCAACTCTGACATATGAATTGTAAGTCGCTTTGGATGAAAGCGTCAGCTAAAAGAATAATTGTAAAATGTAAAAATATATAATATGCTGTATCTCACAATATATCAATTCTTCAGAATGAGTACTTTTAATTTTAATAATTTAAAATATGTTGTGCTGATAATACTTTTAGATTTTTCACTTATGTACATTTTGAATGGAGGTATTTTTACTGCATTGGTCCTTTTTACTTAAAGGATCCAAGTACTTCGTCCACCAGTTTACACAAATGTTATGCCGACACCAGATACCATACAATATAGTACCAAATAATGTGAATACTGAATATACACTACAGTTCATATAGTAAGTACTCTCACATTTTATGTCAATGCAGGAAAACCTTTTTTGTGGTATAATTTGGCAAAGGCATCTGTCAAACTGAAACTTTCAAGTCTAATGTTACATTAAAACAGTATTTTGCCCAAAAGCTTAATAGCAGTTATGTAATCAAGAGCAAGAGTCCCATTACACAGAAAACTAAGAAATCACCAGTGACAAAGCAGGTTTGATCCAGACATAAAAAAAACTTTATTATAAACAGTTTATTTTAAAATACACATCCTCTGTCTAAAAAAAAAAAGTGCAAGATGGTGAAAGCACAACATAAAAGGGAATAGTTCCTCCTGAGGAACCACATGAACGGCTTTGAACCTGATGAAACGTCAGAATCAGAGAGGCACAGTTTAGAAGTAACAACAACAAATCACTCTTCGTGTGCGTTGAAAAGTGGAATATCAGAAGCAGCCATGCGGGAACGCTTCTAAATTTGAACAGAGGAAGTGGGGTTGAAAATGTTTCTGCGGTTAAACCAAGTTGACAGGCATAAGAGGAGCTATTGCAGCATCTAAAATCACCAAACTAGAGGGTAAACAAAAAATGGATTAGGGGGACACACGCAAGCACGTTTGAATGTATTTACATCACCTACAAGGGCGGTTTCACTGTACCTCGGCTCAGTCCTCAGTTAAAAATAACTTTCAAAAAATTCAACATTATGTGCAGCATCAAAATCACAAGTTTCCATTTGGAGCAGCAGCTGACAGGTCAGTGACATTCACGTCTGGGTAAGCAGACATTCAGTTAATTCATGCAACTTTTCTGTGCTTAAAATAACTTCTAACCCTCGGCTAACCCAAACCATTAGCTCTAACATGAGCAGTGTTGACAGCCACCATTCATTACATGACAAAGCTGTCGTCTCACCGAGAGATCAGAGCAGGGATTTCCTCCAAATCAAACTGTTTACAGCTCCGCCCGCAGCCGTCACAGCTTCAGTGGTATAACGGGCCAGTACTTGGGCTGTTTGAGGTCACAGTTTCTGTCGAAAGTGAGCTGCATTGCCGCCTCCATGGCCAGGATCTTGGCCGCGTCTTCGCCGTACAGCTTCTTCATCTCGGCCCCACGCCTCTCGCCAGGCCGCTCGGAAGGAGGAGCCGAGCTGCTTCGCCAGGAGACGGCGTGCAAGTCCTGGTCGGCCGGCACGTAGCTGTCATGCTGCTCAGCCTCCATCTGCTGCTGCTTCTCTGCAAGGACAGGAAGACAGGTTATTTTTAGCCACACAGCAGGCCGTGTCTCCACATTAAACTCACTGAAACTATGATATCTGATTACAATTGTACAGCAAAGCAAATTATTACTGATTATGTGATGGAGATGGGAGAAATTTTGGAGACTCTAGACCTAAAGTCAGTTTCTAACTGTTTCCTAACTCTACACCCTGGTTCTCTTACTCAGCTCCTCTCTGTGCTTCTCTGTCTGGGCGAAGTACTGCCGGAGCTCCTCGCTGATCTCCATGTTGCTGACGTCGCATTCTATCTCGCTGTCTGAGCTGCTCTCCTCGTCCCTGTCCTCTGCGTCTTTGCTGTCCCTCTCCGTGGCGTGCCAGTCTGCGTAGCGCCGGTGGCTGCTGGGGTACGGCTCCTGGTAGCCTGGGCCGTAGGCAGCCTCAAAGGCCTTTCGGTATGCACGCCTGTGCCTCTGGTGCCAGGCCATCACCTGCTGGTAGTGCTGCCAGTAGCGGCTGTACACAGGGCTGGAAAACCAGGACATCATGGTGTTTATGTCCTCCTGCTGATGAGAAGAATCAGTACAGTTTCATATTGTATATCATTAGTCTCACACTTTAATTGTTTGTCACGAAAGATGACGCTGGTAAAATGGTTTTATATTAATTTAACAGGTATACTGGGCACTGCAGGGATGAAAATGTTCTGTATTTTCAATGTATGTGTCTCTTTCTGTAGATATAACTGCACAACACCACAAAATTAGGTAGGTCCTTGAAGGGCTCAGTAGACGAAGATCTGCTGCTGATCTATGTTGCAGTCCCACTTTATCATTTAAGGTTATAATTTGTTACTATACCATCATGCCCAGTACATATTTAATGTATCATTAGTAGCACTGAAGCTTAAGACAGGAAGACTTCCTTACCATGATTGGAGATGCCCGCAGTTCAGTGAATGCCCCTGCTAACTTTGCTAACCTGCTAATCCAGAAAGACACGGGGTTACTAATAAGAACAAGAAGTCGGTAGGTTAAACAATATCTACTTCTGTTAAGATAAAGTACCACACTACAACACTACAGCCTAACTTCATGGGTTCAGGCACAATGAAAGACGCATGCTGACATCTTCAAAATAAAAATGGATGCGCACTAACGTTACGTGCCCGACTTCAAGCACCACGAAGAGCAACACGGTGCGACTAAACCTCCGTGTTCATGCATGTAACGTCAACGTAAAGTGTATTTACATGCTGAATCCCTCTCATTTGCACACGTTTACCTGTGTTATGGCAACTTGTTTATCGGCTCGCGGTGCTTCCGCTGACATATTTTCCCAGCATTCTTTGAGGTACAGCAACATGAACGCTGACTACGTGGCGCCACCCGGTGGACGATGTGCAGGTATGCAACGCATTCAGATGGTGGACTTGGTCAGAATAAAGACACACACCTGTGAAATAGCTTTGTAGGAGTCATGTAGGCGATGATATTGTTGTTGAGCACGCCTGTTTGGTTATTTTAGTATCACCTGTTCATCAATTGGGGGGGCAAATTGCTGACCGCTTTTTATACTGTTTATGGCATTGACTTTATTGCTGTTGGACGCTTGTATGTCTGTGAAACAGTTTGGACCTGGAATAAACAATCAAACGCAGCCACTGGATGTTGGGTTCTTGGACAGTCAACAAGATGGGCAGGTAGATAATTCTCCCCTGCTCAGCCTCTCTGGTGGGCCTACTACATTTATGTTTTTAGATAGTCTCCTATAAGCTTGAAAGAATAAAATTCTCCAGAACTTTCAGTTCTTTCTCATCCCTCTTCATTACACTTCATTTGTGTATCTTAACATTACAATTAACTCACAAACTTGACTATTAGCCTATGCAAACTTTTCATGCAACCTCCTATCCTACTCAGAAAAATGAGCGAACCATGTGATCAAAGGTGAAGTTCAGCCTCCTTATAGTCATGGAAGTAGCAAGACTTTTTTTGATTCAGGGAATTTATTTTAAATTAGTATTTAGAATGTTTATCATAGATTTTTATCTAAAGTTAAATATAAAAAAAAAGTAATTTGACTTCACAGTTAGACATCAGGCCAGACATCTCAATTCTGTTGTAAAACATTTGCAAAACCTCTTGTCCATCAGATATTTGGATATCTGGTTTTAGTTTTTGATTTCCAAATAGTCAAAATGCCAAAATGTAACATTGTGTGGGCAAGAATTGCACTGCGATATGCAAGGGAGGGGGTGTATGAGCAGAATAGTTAGGCACGAGTGTTTGAGTGCTGTGAGACATGTTTGAGTGTATATCTGGGTCAGGGTTTGGCTTCAGGCTTCAAAGCTTTCAGAGGAAACGCAAAAAGACAGATGTGCCTTTTCAAAACACATCTCCTCCTACAGTGCAGTGCATTGTTTGAATGGATGTGTTAACACAATAGAGTACAAAAATAAAAGTAGCATTTTCTCTATTCCAGAACATGAATTTTTGAAAGTATGTTATTGTTTCCTGGAATATGTCCTCAGATTGCAGTGCAAATATTCATGAAACAATGTTTTCTATGTATACATTATTTAATAATTGGATTCCCAGTGCATTGTGGACAATGTATGCTATACTTTATTATGCATCTTATATTTTCTCCAGGTATAAAATCATCTTGATGATATATGAATATGGCTGTCCTTTTCTCTTTAATATACAGATACAGAGTTTGCAATGATTGGTGATGCATGTATTGACAACAGGAGTATCAATAGACAGAGGATACACACACTTAAATACTGTTACACATCACACAGGTCACACAGTACAGTTATCTCTACTACTCCCTCTGCTGGTGGACCTCACAGAGAATGCTGTTATTCTGAGCATTCCAACCCACAGTATTCGTCCCCTATGGTGTAACATGTGTGGGATGATTGGTCTGTCACACATCTACATTATATGTGATCTAGCTCTCTACTTTCTAATAGTTGGGCTAAAGAAGTGTAACCAGTATGAGATACTGTTGTCAACATCATTACAAGGAAGCAAGAGTGAGCGCCACAGGGTTAAAACCGCAACACCCAGACCAGAGATGAAAATAAGAGCTGTTATTAAAGCTGTGGTTTCTGTTATGTACTCCCCTTCCTTATGTGGGAGTGGTTGATGTCACACAGCTCAAGTCAAAGAAATTTTCATGTCAAGTCAGACATGGGCCTCTTTAGGAGGTACATGCTGAGCACTCTGCTGATGTTGAAAAGCCAACAAAAATTATCTGTGAATAAGATCTTGAATACAATCAACATGCAAATGTGTTGGCTCAGGGTTTAACACTGCCACATCTTGTTTCCATCACTAGAAGAGTCCTTAGCCATGCCCCTGTATATGTCCCACTCTGGCGGACAGTGTCTTCTTGCTACATACTTTATATTTAACTAAATACGTTATTAAATAAAATGCAACCGTATAAAGGGTTATGTTTATCAATGGTAGCTGACCACAACAGTTGTCAGTCACCGTCAGATATATCTTCACATGTGTCTCACGACTTACAGATGCATGACCTAGTTTCATTCTCCAGCTACGTGAATCTATTGCTGCATTTTAACCACAGTCCTGAAACGTTCAGCTGTGGCCACTCTTATCTCCTTTATGCAGACGACGACAACAACATAAAAAAAAAGCCAGCATTGGTCTGCATCTTTGATAACCTGTTTACCTGGTTCCATATCTTGTAAACTAATCTCTGTCTGCCTGTCTCTGTTGTAGTTTCAGTCACTATATGACCTCTTGTTGTTGCTCTAATCGATTTGGAAAAAGTCTGGGCTCCCAGGAATCTTTCAGGACATGTCTTCATCACGACTGTTGAAATGTAGCCCAGTGCCGCGGATGGCAACACGACCTGGCCCAGATCTGGGAGGAGATCCCCCAGTCTAATATGATGCAGTAAAAGTCAGACTGATAACTGTTTACAGTTTTTTAGGATTGCTTACACACTAAAATTAAAAGTAGTACACTATTAGCAAAACCTTACACTCAAGAAGCAAAACATCAGCCCATATTTGCACAACTATAAGCACATTGTCAACCTCACACTTGTTGCAAAACCCTACACACAGTGATTTGCAAAACACTAAACACACTTAACATACATTACACACAAAAATCTATCATGAAGTCACTTCCTTGCAATACCAAAGCAATCACTGTCAAATTACCGCACCATCCAACCAATTGGTTCTACACAGTCATCAGGTGTGCAAACACTTGTTTGCTTAATTGTAGACACACCAATCAGGTGTATAAGCACAATAAAAAGCAGCAGGTGAGTTCATCGGTCTTCAAGCACAATGGAAAGAGTCAGAGAAAGAGTAAGACGAGGAGGAGGAATCAACAGAGGAAGAGGAATCAACAGAGGAAGAGGAAGAGGAAGACAAGAAGGTGCTCAAAGAGGACCGAATCTGACAAATGAGATCCGCGCAACACTGGTTGACCACGTTGTCAACCACGGCCTGACGCTGAGGGAGGCTGGACTGCGAGTACAGCCAAATCTAAGCCGATACACAGTGGCAAGTGTGATTAGAACATTTTGACTGGAAAATAGGTATTGTAAAAATATCATATCAAAAACATCTGCACGGTTTCAGTAACTGCTTACAGTCCTGTATTCTATGCACTATCAGTTGTTACCTTTGTAACAACACTCCAGCCATTACACAGAATGGGGTCCCCCACCGCCATGCCCATATGGGCCCTTACAACACAGCACTCATACTTACATTCTTGGACCAATTGCACGACATAATAGCAGCAAATCAAATCGATCATATGCAATACATTGTTGTCTGGGACAATGTGTCTTTCCACCGCTCTGCTCTGGTTCAGAACTGGTTTCAGCAACATCCACATTTCACCGTCCTATATCTTCCACCATACTCTCCATTCCTCAACCCTATAGAAGAGTTTTTCTCATGGCGGTGGAAGGTAGGTATATGATCTCCGTCTCCAGGCTGAGGTATCCCACATCCAAGCCATGGAGGAGGCCTGTGACCAGATGGAGGTAGCAGCAATGCAAGGATGGATTCGTCATTCAAGACGTTTCTTTCCAAGGTGTCTTGCTAATGACAACATTGCCTGCGATGATGAAATTCTCTGGCCAGATCCAGCTAGGCGAAGAGACAATGTCTAGTTTTTTGGGGGAGTTTTTACAGTAAACATACAGTACAATATGTAAAGTGACATTTTGTTACAGTATTATGAATCTCCATGTCAACATTTTGGGCGTGAGAAATAAATGAGTTTCTTCAGTCTGCAACATTGGTCTTGTGTAGTGTTTGGTGAATTTACATTATATTTGTAACTTGTACTGTTGATGGTAGCCTACTCTAATCATAGGGAAGTAGAAGTGCTGAAAGTGTTTTAGGTTTATCACAGCTGAGTGTAATTTGTGCAAACAGAGTATAGTAATGTGAAACGTGTGTGTTTCATATGGTAACAAAGTGTGGTTTTTAAACAGAAGTGTATAGTTTTTACAAGAGTGTTTAATTATGCAAAGGATCTGTAGTGTTTTGCTATTTGGGTGTGAGGTTGTGCTAATTGTGTGTAGTGTTTTGAAAACACGGGCCCTGTTTTGAAAATCGTGCTTAAGCAATCCAAAAAAACTGTAACATGGCAGGAAATAAAACAGCAAAGGATTAGGAAAAGTGCAAAATTAATATTAAAGATTGTCATTGTATGAGTTGTGCATGTTTTTATGAGTGCTGTATGTATATATGATTTTACTCTTTCCATTTATTGAAAACATAATTGTGTCAAAACGTGTGCTTAGTCCTGCCTAACAAAGATAGGCCTTCCCCAAATACAAAAACTTGAATATGCCAGTAAAGTTCAGAAGCTGTTTTTAAAGGACGACAAAATGATAACATGAAAGGCATAAACACACAAATCCTTATTTTTTTGTTCCTTTTCAAACCAAAGTGTCACACCCTGCAGGATGTAAAGGCCTTCCTCAAACTGACGACCAACAATGACAACACAACAGTCACCAGTAACGATCACCAAAACATTCACAGGTTAGTTAGCTGTGTGCTGAGTACCAGCTGTGTTGTGTCCATAGTGAATCAGATATATCTTAGTCAAACTGACTTTGGACTTTTCCTCTGTTTTGAACACATTTTTGAAAAGACATGTCTCAGACTTTGTCCTTAAAGTTGTCATTTATTCAAAAATAAAACTAGTCAATACGTGGATGTGTTTGGCTTCCTATACAGGCTCTATAATGCACAGTGCAAACGCTGTTTAGCCAAAATATACGTTTTTCTGTGAAACCAGTGTCAGAGATTCCACCTCGCCAACACCCCACAGTATCTAAACAAAAAAAAAAAGTAGAAGCAGTCAAGGCCTACACTTCCTTTTAAGACACGTCTTTGAGGATACATCTGCTTACAAGGTTATTTTGCACCTTTTTACCATCCCCCGTTCAGTATAGTTAACTGGTCTCTGACAGACCTCTACCATGATGGATCAATGGAAACTGCTGTTGGTCCTGCTTGTTTGTGTTTTGACACTGAAGGTACTATACAGGAGAGTTTCATTCATTACATAGAATTTATGCTGTCTGTTTTTCAATTTGATAGAATTACAAGTTGCCTGTACTAACCACTATTTATTCTACCGTGCTCATTCTCATGCACTGGTTTCATTACAGAGACTCTTGTGAAAAGTATTGGGAGAGAACCAGAATTTAGTATAATCATTTATTTTATTCTAGGCAAGTCTATGTATGTTCATGTGTCAGGCATTTGGCTGATTGTGACAAAATTCCTGTGACCATCAATTGATTGAGTGGAAATGTATGAGAGATCTGCTAAGAGACGAGAACTCACTCAACTCATTACACTTGCGTAGTAGCAGGTAGGACTTATTTCACTTCCAGACAAGTCACCAAGTCCCACCGTTCTCTTCAGACATCTTTTAAGAATATGTTTCCACTACTTTGTTTATGCTTTGGTTTTTGGTTTTCACACCATAATCAGTCGCCTCGATTCGACAGAGAATGGTGTGACAACCAATTCTTCATGTCTGAAGACGTGTCAAAATTGCAGGAAGATGGCCGTGACTGAGAAGCTACAACCAAAATGTTTTACTGTATATGTCATACTGCATTTAGGGTACATTTATTGTCCATTTGAATGTATAGACCAACTGGGGGGGGGGACTGTTCTGTCTGCATTATCATGGCAGTAAACAGAGCTAACTAGCCATGAGAAGCTACTGCAAGACTCTCAGTTTCTCCATGGAAAGACAGGAAGTCTGGAGGAGCTTTGATGATCACTAGAAGCACATTTATAGTCGTGTGTGTGTGTGTGTGTGTGTGTGTGTGTGTTTTTGACAGTACAAAGACGTAGTACTGCTGTGTACCGCAGTTAACATTACTGCTCACCAGCCCTAAATATCTTGTTTACATCTGAGTACAGGATGGTTATCAGTGGGTTCATGTGTTTACTGCCACTGAATAGGAATAAAAGGATATTGTTGTATGGTATTGCAGTTCCTCTTTAAGGCAGGATGCTTAAAGTCATGTTCATAATGAAACTGTTTTCGGTTGCTGTTTAAGAGTTTTAGTAATGTAACCTTGTCCGGTGACTTTAACTACTTTAGCTTAGTTTGGCCCACCGGCAGCAACGACATGCTCACAGTGTCACCAAGTGAAGCTGTTGATTCTGAGGGTCAGTGGTGTGAGTTAAGATGAGGGGATTTCAGTCAGAGGTGATACGATGACATGAAATGCTGAGGGTTCAGTATGACTCAGGTTTCCTGACTATAGTTAAAATGTGTCAACCTTTTTTCCTAATTTATACAGATAATACGTTACGATTTTAAATACCATTTCTAATATGGAAACCTTTTTTTAAAGGTTTTTGTTGTAATAATTGCTTGAATAATGACTGTATTAATCATATGTAGATGATTTATGATCCATTATTAATAAAAGGAATTTGAGTTTTCAGTCATGCTGTGAAGACCTTTTATTAATGACTTTCTAACATTTATAACTGCAGACTTGATAGCTTATTTGACCTCTAATAGAGGTACCAGTAAAGCCATTGAAAGTTATTTATTATAAACTATTAAAGTCAGTAGTTAGTTTATAAATCTTTACAAAGGGCTTTGTTTTATATAGGCCAAAAATGACGCTGATAACCTCTACACAAGCCTTTATCAGCCATCAAGTGATCTCTACCAGACCACCTCCTCAGTGCACCAGCAACATGACACCAACTCATATCCAGTCAGCAGCAATACAGAGCCTGTCCGTTTGGAGCAGGAAATCTATGAAAACATTTGAACCAAAAGGTCAAGATGATTGTTTAATAACTTGGACAGTGGCAAGTCAGTTGTTTTTGGAGATTTTGACCTGATCAGTATTTCCGGAACAATTTTAGAACATTCTGTAACGAGAGCCAAATGCAGACACGGGAAGATTTGTGCCCAGACTCAGAAACACCAAGCAGGGCACGATCACTTTTCTAGTTTTATTGTGAAAACACAAAATGTACAAACATATGATGGTTGGCAGGCAATGTCCAAAATAATCCAAGAAAGAAGACCAGAACAAAAGTAAACACTCCAGACACATGACACAGGCAGCAACACCAGGCACACTGACTGACAAAGACCAGGTAGCATTTTGTGGGCGTTCGGTACCCGAGTAAAAGCCTGTTATTAGGGTTTGCCAACAGAGCATGATTTGCTTGCTGTTTCGGTGTCTTAAGATGAAAGCAGAAGTCATCATGTCATGCACTTCCTTGAAAACACCTCACACCTGCTCCTCCAGCTCTACCTCTGAGAGCGCTGAGAGTTTGAGGTTTAGGTTGTCAGAGAACGATGCAAAGGGGGTCTGTCTGTCTCTGTCCCTACAGTTCAATATACTGTACACTGCCAGCAGCAACTGCACTGTTGCTTAGATGTGTTGACCAGTATGGGTAGATGGAAACTGTGGTTTGTTCTGCTTCTGCTGCTCATGTTTCATATCGACAGCAAAGGTACCGTACAGGAACGAGTTTTTATGATGTGTAACGTCTCTGTTAATCTTTCTGTCTTTGGTTTAAAGAGAGAAACTGTTTGTTTTCTGTAATTTATCTATTCTAGTGCAATTTAAAATGTAGGTCATACATTTTACAAATACAGCACATGTAATCATTCTATTTCATACTGTATTGATTTTTGATTGTAATGAATTGATTGCAGAGGTTGGGCAGCTACTTGTGAAAAACATTGGGAGAAAACCAGATGTCACTCCACTATGCACCAATGAAACACAGAGTATCCTCACACTGATAGTATGTAAGATCAGAACAGAAAGGAGCAGGGGAGAAGAGTGTCGTCTGCTGTATCAACATGGACAGGACTTTGTACACGAATGTGATTCCAGGTTCACACTTATGAAGGAGAATCATACTGTGTTTCTGCACCTGACCAGTTTAACACCAGAGGACAGTGGGAACTACACCTGTGAGTGTTCACATCTGTATGGAACCGATATTCTCCATCTGAATATCACTGTGGAAGGTAAATGATTGATTGATTTTAGAACTTTGTGTTTCATACTTGATGCATTTCTCTGGTTATTTTCCTTTTCTTTGGTGAAGTTACGAATAATATCAACATCAGTATGTCTGTAATTGTTAAATCAAATCAAGCCTGCTTTATTTTGCAGGATAAAATAAAAGTGTAGTTTGATTAAGCCAACGAAACTACGTATAAAGCAAAATGATAAATGACAGCATCTTATTGTGTGTGTGTATAAACACCATTGCTACTTTTCTTTTTTCTTAATGATCTTTAAGAGGATGAAGACGACCGCAGATTTGCAGAAATACCATTTCCAAGTGCTTTAATTGGTGTAACTACGTTTATCGTTATAACTGGATTTATCCTGGGATTTATCCACAGAAAAAATCACCACAGGTAAGACACTGATATAGAGCTGACAGGGAATAAAATAATGCTACATCAGGGCTACGTCACATTTTGTTCCTACATGTGGTATACTATCACAATATAGAGTGAAGGAATAATTTGTTTTTTCCCCAACAGAAAACAACTGGAACTACAGCACAGTCATCAGAACACGGTAGTGTAAAAAAAATGTTGTACCCACTTTTTGTCTGCCATTCATTTTACTTTATTGTGATATATTTTCAAAACTATATGCACCTTTGCAGGAACCACAGGACACTGAGCCGTGTGGCACCTTCATACAGAAAGAGAATGTGCTTTATTCAGCTTGTAGTTTTGAAACTAGTATTAATTATTTACCCGAGATGACACAGATTTAAGGATAACTTTGTAGAGTTTAAATGATATATCCGATTGTGATCTACAATGTGACGCATGTTTATAGTAAGTGAAACAGGGCCTAACTATTTCACTCATTGGAGAGCATTTAATTCTAAAACCTAGCATATAGTAATTGTTTTGTATAATTGTATTCCTTTTTAATTTAATTTTGTAAAAGTAGCATATTGAATGTATTATACTATAAATATGTTATCCAGAATAAATGTTCTAATAAACGACTGGTTAAAACAAAACCTCCTTTGTTTTACTCCTGTTCTTTTAAGTATTTTTAACTGCTGTGTGACTTTAGAGAATATATAATAACTCCCCACTGCTCTTGAACACATCATCAGCGATGTAACCTGGGGTTGTTGGATGTTTCAGGACTTTTAACATCAGACAGTCAGTTAATCAGGTGTTACTTTTACCCGACACCCAGCATCTCAGCTTCCTGCATGAACTTCCTGTCCTTACACAAATCTACATCGAGTTTTTCTCTGCTGTCTGCATGAGGTTGCAAATGATAAGCCCAGTATATCAAGCCCCATTTGTAACAAGGGTTGACTCTGATTATCACTGTTTTATATGACACGGCTAAAATGAACAAATCAAAGAGGAGCGATGCTGTACTGACCATTAGATTTTATTTCTTCATAATGGTCTGAAATGTTTTTAACATTTTAATTTCTGTCCATTAGGAACAAAGTTTGTAGGCAGACATGTGGAGGACTCTTTACTGGAAGATACTCTAATAAATTAATTGACAGTAAACGGGAAGAAACTTGGCACTTATCTGACCACAATGACACACTACCAAATAAAACAAAACCAAACTGTGGCTTCATGGGTTCCCCTTCGAGGGAACTCGAACTGCGTCGGTTACGACACTATGGGAACGCCTCTAGGCGAAGCAGGTCTGAAAGTGAATGAAATCACTCCAATCCCATTGGCTTGTTGCTAGAACGGTAAGGTGTGACGGAATAACCGGAGGAGTATAAAGCACACCTGTACGCACTCATCATTAGCTTTTTTCTATTCAGCAGGCGCTCTGTATGTTGTTTGAAGAAAGCTCCAGTCCTACAAGCAGTGTGTCTTACCTGAAGAAGAAGTCTACCAGCATGTCCGGCAACCAGATGTACAGAAGGTGTGTTTTTTCTTGCCCTCGGTACATCACGGATGGAGATTCTCATGAGATGTGTGTCTCATGTTTGGGGATGGAGAACGCACGGGCAGCTCTCGAGGGGGCTGCCTGCGCCCGTTGCGAAGCCCTTTCTGTGCGGGTACTGAGGTACAGCATTGCTCTCTTTTCCGAGGATGGCCGGATGTGTTTTCCCCGTGGCGCGGGCCCTGCGGCCGCTGAAGCCCCTATTTTGGATCTGCGGGTTCTAACCGGTCTCTGAGGAGATTCAGGTTCAAGATGCTCATCATCCCGCCACCGTGACGCACATCCAATCTGAGGATTGGTTCGTCACGATAGATCTAAAGGACGCCTATTTCCAGGTCTCCATCCGTCCTTCTCACAGGAAGTTCCTGAGGTTTGCCTTCGGGGGTGTGGTTTACCAGTATCGGGTTCTTCCATTCGGCCTGGCACTTTCCCCTCGCACATTCACCAAGTGTATGGATGCAGCACTGGCCCCGCTGAGGCTCCGGGGCATCCGGATTTCAACTTCATCGACGACTGGCTCATCCTAGCCCAGTCTCGAGAGTTGGCGGTTCGGCATCGAGATGTCGTTCTGGCTCATCTGCGGCGTTTAGGGCTGAGGCTCTACGCAAAGAAGAGCGTGCTGGCGCCCACCCTACGGGCTACGTTCCTAGGGGTTGCATGGGATTCGACAACGATGCGGGCACAATTGTCTCCGGCACGTGTCGACACCATATTGGCTGCTGTGAAAGGGGTGAAGTTAGGCCACGCCATCACTATGAAACACTTTCAACGGGTGTTGGGTCTCCTGGCGGCTGCGTCCAGCGTAATACCATCTGGACTGCTGCACATGAGACCTCTGCAGTGGTGGCTAAGGAACAAGGGTTTTTCCCCGAGGGGAATCCTCTCCGTCTGGTTTGGGTTACGCGCAAGTGTCTTCGTTCCCTATCAGTTTGGAAGGAAACTTGGTTCCTGTCCCAGGGGCCCGTGCTGGGAGGGTCTTGTCGCCGGCTGGTTCTTTCGACAGACGCCTCCCTCACGGGCTGGGGCGCGGTCATGGACGGCCGCTTTGCAAGGGGATGCTGGCAGGTGCATCGATCCGAGTGGCATATCAACTGCCTCGAGATGTTGGCGGTGTTCCAGGCTCTAAGGAGTTTCCTGCCCGATCTCCAAGGCCACCACGTCCTGGTTCGTTCCGAGGAGAACAACACAGCGGTGGTGGCCTATCTGAATCACCAGGGCGGTCTGCGCTCACGCCCTCTGGACAGACTGGCACTCCAGGGGGACCACAGATCCTCCTGTGGTCCCAGCAGAGGTTACTATCACTCAGGGCGATGTATCTCCTGGGGACGCAGAATCAGGGAGCAGACCTGCTTTTGAGGCAGGGGCTGAGGCCCGGGGAATGGAGACTTCACCCCGAAGTGGTGGAGCTCTTGTGCGAAGAGTTCGGCCCCATAGACGTGGATCTGTTTGCGTCTCAAGAGACTACGCACTGCCCGCTATGGTTTCTCTCGTTCCTCCAGCCCCGTTGGGTCTGGACGCCATGGTACATTCGTGGCCGAGGCTACGTCTGTACGCTTTTCCCCCAGTCGCTCTGCTCCCGGGGTTCTGGAGCGGGTCCGCCAGGACTATGTCGGCCTACTGCTCGTAGCCCCGTTCTGGCCAACCCGGGTGTGGTTCTCGGACATCATGTCGCTCCTGGACGGCCCGCCGTGGCGGTTCCCTCTGAGGAGAGACCTGCTGTCCCAGGCGCAGGGCCGAGTTCTTCACCCTTGCCCCGCCATATGGTGACTGTGGGTCTGGCCCCTGAGGGGGCACAGTACCTAGAGGCAGGTCTAACAGCCGGAGCAGTCGAGACCCTCCTGAGCTCCAGGGCCCCGTCCACACGGAGGATGTACGGCCTGAAGTGGAGTGTTTTCTCCACTTGGTTTAGGGAGCGGTCGGTGGACCCTGTTACCTGCCCGGTGGTTCAGGTACTTGAGTTCCTCCAGGACCGGTTCTCTGCTGGTCTTTCCCCTTCCACCCTCAAGGTGTACATGGCAGCTATTTCATCTTTCCACACCCCTCTGAGGGAGGGGTTCTTGGGGAAACTTCCCTTGGTTGTACGTTTCCTCCGTGGTGCCCGGAGGATGAGACCTGCGACTCGGTCCAAGGTTCCCACTTGGGATCTGGCAGTGGTTCTTGGGGCGTTGGCTGAGCCCCCCTTCAAACCCCTGGAGTCAGCTGAGGCTAAGCACTTGACCCTCAAGATGGCCTTTCTCCTTGCTATCACCTCTCTGAGGAGGGTGGGGGATCTCCAAGCGCTTTCAGTTTCCCCGCAAAGCCTGGAGTTTGCCCCGGGGAATATTAGGGCTATCCTGCACCCTCGTTCAGGATACATCCCTAAAGTGCCTTCTTGTGCGGCAGGGTCCACAGTGCTGCAGGCATTTCATCCTCCACCTCATGTGACGGCGGAGGACGGGAGACTTCATCTGCTCTGCCCTGTCAGAGCACTGAGTATTTACACTCTGAGGTCCTCCCGTTGGAGGAAGGCTGACCAGCTGCTAGTGTGTTTTGGGTCTCCCAGGGCCGAGCTCCCTGCATCCAAACATACTATTAGCAACTGGATTGTTCAGACTATTTCCCTGGCCTATCAGGTGCGCGGTTTGCCTTCACCTGTGGCTGTTGCAGGCCTCTTGCAGGATGTTGTTTAGCGGCTGGCTGGGCCACTCCGCACACATTCATTCGGTTTTACAGTCTTGACCTTCCTTCGGCACCTGGCACTCGTGCGCTCTCCTCTTAGTCGTGCCACTTTATTGCACACAGGGGCAGGCGGGGTTTTCGGCACGGTTTAGTGGGTATCTCGTTCCCATAGTGTCGTAACCGACGCAGTTCGAGTTCCCTCGAAGGGGAACGTCTCGGGTTACGTATGTAACCCTGGTTCCCCGAGAAGGGGAACGAGAGACTGCGTCGGCCCGCCGCACCTCTCTCCCCGCCTGAAGCGCCTGCTTCATAGTTTAAGCTAATGATGAGTGCGTACAGGTGTGCTTTATACTCCTCCGGTTATTCCGTCACACCTTACCGTTCTAGCAACAAGCCAATAGGATTGGAGTGATTTCATTCACGTTCAGACCTGCTTCGCCTAGAGGCGTTCCCATAGTGTCGTAACCGACGCAGTCTCTCGTTCCCCTTCTCGGGGAACCAGGGTTACATACGTAACCCGAGACGTTCTTCTAGTAGATCATCTTGATCTGTCGGAGCTGATTTGTAAAAATCAAGCCCGGATTTCTCCATTCTGTGTGCAGAACCCAGCAAGAAGATGGTAATTTAGGTTTTTACCCCCACAAACTCAGCATCTTTATTTAAAATCTTTATTTAAATGCTAAAATGTTTTGGAGATCAATCTTTTTTTTTGTCTCCTTTCAGACTGAATGTCCTGCAACAACCAGACAAACTAACAGCCATGAAGACATTCACATGGTGAGTTGCGTGTTTACCAGTTGCAGAAATAATCCACTGATATTTAAATAATTTACCTTTTGAACTGACTGATAACAATCACTGTGCCCATAATAAATCAACTGGGGATTTCATATGCTACTGGTTGACAAAATATGGAAAAAGGTCTCACTGATCTAGAGCTACTATTATTGTAAATAATCAAATGAGGAGGACATTTGTAGATTGCCTTGTTCACAAGTCTGCCTTAGGCTGGTTCAGTTCTCGTGTTTGCAGTTTGCACTACTCCCTTGCCTGTAAACATGCATTTGTCCGGTGGTAACGAGGTGCATGTTCAGAGAACTTGTTGCAGGAAGGAAATAAGATGCATCTTTTAGGAACTGTGCTTCACATTCTGTGGAAAAGCACTATAACTAAGATTTGTCTTGGTACAAAAAAGTGATAAGTGACTATACATCTAATTTTGATCAGTGTCATGTCTTCCAAAAAAATTGTTATTGAATTTCCTCAAAGTAAGTGCTTAAATTTGTGCTGAATTAAATTAAAATTAATAATACTGCTTCAAAACATTGGGGAATGGGGAATTTGGCACAAATTGATGCATCCAGCGAAGCCAGTGTTAAAGGTTCACCCACAGAGAGTCTTAACTTGAAAATAGAAGAAGCATACTTCCTTTTGAGGACACGTGATTTTCAGCGCATATGCTCACATGGCATTTTAGATATTTTCAGATTTAGGTAGCAAAAGGGACTTACACATTGGAAAGGAACAGATATTCACCATCTGCATATCCCTGTAGAAATGTCTGATTTATTTTCTTGCTTTCAAACGTTCAGTATATTTGCACTCAGTGTGAATAAGTTATTTCCCGGCGTGCTATCATCATGAAGAATTTCAGTAGCAGATTGACCTGCCTTAACTGATATGATATATCAAAGTGTAGTCTGTTAATTTTGGAAATACTGTACATACTGAATTTAAAAGTTGATGTCTGTAGATGTGGTTTTGAACACTTCTTTGGCTCAGGTTATTTTCTGTTAACAGATTCAGCAGCATCATGCAAAGAGCACATCAGGAGCTATTATTTTATTCTGCCCATCACTGTGATCTGTGATGGTACTGCATTCATCATGGTGACTGGAGTTCTCCTTGGATGCATCCTGAGAAAAACACATTCCAGGTGAAAAGATCTTGTGCTTTAATCCTTGTGACCTATATGTTTGGCCGGATTATTGGGATTAATTAGTTGTTACCTGTTTATCTGTGATCCACTACTCATACACTACATATTTTCTTCTTTATAGAGAAGATACCGGGTCAGGAGTGTCTGGGTTATCTGTTTGTGAACCCCCCTGCTCTTTGGTGAGTCACATATTATTTTGTTCTCTACCTTAAAATTTGGATAAAGTAGCTATTTTAATGTTCAATACATTTACTGTAGCTGAGGCCTTCTTATTTTATTTGTAATTTTTTGCATGCAGACAGGAAATGAGGTGGTGGGTAACAAATTTCCCATGCAGTATGATATCTTAACCACTAGGCCACCACAATGCATCTTAGGTAAACTCCAGACACTCCTGTGATCCACCAATTAACCTGTCAGATATGTATGAGAAAATATGCTGGGAGAAGAAAATACACTAAGTGGTATCTTTACTAATTACACACTTGTGTTTCCAGAGTAGACTAATTTAATTTCCTTGTTTTGTGTCAGTGTTTTTGGTTATAACACCATTCAGAGAATAACAATAATAATATTGTGACAACAATATTCACATGTGTTGTAAAGTGTGAAAATTGTAGAAATTGCTTTTTTTTTGCTCATTTTGGAGGATAGGTTCACAGATTTGTTTCAAGACAGCTTTTGCTTGCTGTAACAATTCTTTTTGCTGATACAGGCCATTAAAAGATCCCTTTCTAATGTGCTTCCATTTTAAGTGATCAGAGACAAAATCCACAGTCCTCTTTCTGTGTAAATATTATTATCTGAAGCTAATACAAGGTTCCAGAACTCTGAGTTAACCAATAAAGTGGGTATTTTATTTGAAGTCACATCATTTTTAAGGAAATCTCTCTTTAATGTTATCATCTTATGCTAAGTCCACAGTTCACTGCGAGGAAGAGTTAGCCATGTGCCTTCACAAGAAGATTTACCTAATCACCCTGACAGTTCAAAGTTAGGAAAGATGACAATCTCAGTCCTAGCTGTTCTCATTTGTGACACCACGATGGTGGAACGAGCTACCCAATGCCATCAGAGCAGGGGCGTCCCTCTCTAACTTCAAAAAGCTCTTGAAAACTCATCTCTTCTGAGAACACTTTCTCTTACATCTCTAACCCCTAACCTCTAACATGCACTTCCTGTGCTCTTCTTCTATCCATCCATCCATCCATCTTCATCCACTTATCCGGGGTCAGGTCTCGGGCTTCTTCTTCTATCCCCTTACAATTCTCTTGTATTGATTGCACTTTTTCCCTCAGTATTTACCCCACTGATACCATACCTGCTATTAGCTCATAGTATGTATTATCAGTTGTAGATCTCGTGCTGTATTGACTGATTTGTTGATGCTTGTATGTTGTTTCTCAAATGTAAGTTGCTTTGGATAAAAGCATCTGCCAAATGAGTAAATGTATTGACAGAGAGAACTTTAAGAATCGGGACTTAAACCTCTTTGATCAGACTTTTAAAACAGGATGCAGTAAGAGTTTGGTGTTTCCATAGGACCCAGATGACTCCTACACAAGCCTTCAGCTGCCAGCAAATGATCTCTATCAAACTATCTCCTCAGTGCAACATCAACATGACATGAAGAGAAATTCAGCCAGCAAGATCATAGTGACTGCACATCGGGATAATCAGGAAACAGATGGAAGAGAGACTGATCCAAGTTGCAAAATCTATGAAAACATTTAATTAATAACAGGAGTAAGACAATCTGGAGTTTTAGCACTAAAAAATGTTTCTGTTAAACCTGGTCTGCACATGAGCAGAAGTGGGAACACTGCTGTGAGTTTGACACCAGTTGTGAGGTCCAGTGATGACGATAACTGGCAGAGGTCACCAAAATCAAACACTAGAAAGTAAGAGTTAACTGGTATGTAAATGCTCAAATCACATTATGTCTTACTGGAACTTAACATCAGGCTACAAGCTGTGTTTTGCTGCCCTCTCTGGTTAAAGGTTTCAAGCTTGTTTCACCTCTGACCAAAGACAATATTTCAGGGGATGTTAAGTCACCCTTTCATTTTTTAACACACAAACCTTGTCATGAGTCATGTACAGAACTGTCACAATTATTCATTCATGTGTCAGTGTTATGAATTATGACTTGTAAGAATTTAAATATAAAAGCCACTTAATTAAACTAATTGCTCCTTGGGGGGTAATTTTCCAAAGGCTCATTTTATACAGTATATTGTTTGAAAAAAAACAATTGCTATAAATTCATCATTTTGTAAAAATGCACATAGGCCTATATATAATTAGAAAATGGATTATTGTTAGTCATATTTATTACTGACGTTGTTCTCGTGCATATGTAGCTGTACAGTTACTATGGCAACCGGCAGCGCTTGTAGAAGCAGCAGCCTGTAGCGCCTTCAAACTTCGCTACACATTTGTTTTTTATCAGTTTTTTCCTTCGTTACCTCTGACATAAGTACAGTCATTGGAAGATGAAGATGGGGTTTTTGGATTAAAGAGCAGCAGACGACGATCCACCCGGCCCAAACAACCTGACCAGGCGCCACGGCAGGTGCGGTGATCGCTCAGAGGAGAGGAAAGAGACCCAGGAGAGGAGCCATGCTGACCCAGCTTGTAGATGGTGATTGAAAGCCAAGATTAGTTTCACCTGCAACATTCTGTTTATGGACTCACCGTCGGACATCGCTAAAACAAATAGCCTAACTGATGTGAAAGAAACAGGCTAATGTCTATCAAAAGAAAGCGATGCTCTTTTCAACAATATATCAGAATCAATCCAGTGATCTGATTTAGATGTTACAGTGTGAAGTCTATGTTTGCTCTGCAGAGAGTGAATACTAATTTTTAATTATTTGATTGGTATTGTCAGATTGATTTATTGATTTATTAATTGCAGTGACTCTTGTGAAAACCATTGGGTGAAAACCAGATGTCACTCCACTATGCACCAATGAAACACAGAGTATCATCACACTGATAGTATGTAAGAACAGAACAGAAAAATAGGGGAGAAGAGTGTCATCTGCTGTATCAACATGGACAGGACTTTGTGCATAAATGTGAATCCAGGTTCACACTAATGACAAAGAATCAGACTTTGTTTCTGCACCTTTAATAAATTTTGAATTAATACCAAATTATGAATTTTAATATTCACAAAATATTAATCCATAAATCTCTCGTTTCACGGGGCACCAAGGGAGATCCAATTCGCCCAGAGTCTCCGGACCTCTGGGTAGAGTTTTAATAATTATACAATTATTCACTAGTGATCAGTTAGTTAATAATCGCTAAATTATCTTAAATCAGTCAGTCTCATATCGAAGGGGTAAATTCTCATGGCAGGGAATTGGAGACAGGCAATACACACACAATTCCTTTGGTTACAGTGAAATTTATTAACTAATTAAGGTGAATATAAAAATGCGGTTAAAATATACATCCAAGAAATAAACAATGGCTAAACAATCGGAATGTGGGTTTCTATTGTGGGGAGGATTTGACTCATACGGCAGCTAATGAACGCAAGCTATGAGTTTTAAGAGTTAAAGATAATCTATTAACAACTAACGTTATGGGACATCACTGAATACAGAAAGCAGGGTTTTGGTCTTACTGAATGTTGTTTCTCCCAGCCGGGTGGCCGTTGAACGGCCTCACACTGGCAGAGATCTGTGCGTTCTCGGTTACGACAGCTTAAAGCCATCGGCCAGTCGCTTTCTCTGCCAGGGAATTGCTCCAGAGGTCCATCTTTTGTTGGTGTTTGTTTCAATGCTGCGATGATGTGTTGAGAAGAATTCCGCTTGACACTGTTCTTGATCATAAAAGTTTATTACATCAAGGAGTTCAGCATCAATTACAAGCTCTGCAGCAGCTTGGAGAGTGACCCAGCCCGATGACCACTCTGTCTCTCTGTACATCAAACACAGCTTATATAGGATATGTGTAGGTATCTGCTAAATACCACTGAAGGGTTCAGTCCCTACATAAACACTAATACTACTCCCCCCTTAAGAGTTCACTGACCCTCTGTCCAGCTGCTAGAGTGTTATTTTAAACTGTAATGGTCAAATGCACATATGTTATACACCACATCGGCTTAGTGAAAAAACTCGCAGTGGGGCCTTTCCAACCCTGGCTCGGGTCAGAGGTTTGGTCGTCCTTTGACCCACGTGGTGGGTCCGACCTCAGTGGGAGCAGTGTAAGTTCGCTGCAAGAATAAAGCTTAAAAATAACTTGGTCGTCCTTGAATTAAACTAGTGTAGCGGTCTGATAACTTTTAACAAACAAAATGAAATAAAAAGCAGGTAAAGTTGTGTGGCTTGAAAACGAACAAAGGCTTCGTTGCCGAATTTCTTAGGGCGTTGCCGGGAGAGGGGACACGCTGGGCGCGTGCCGAAGCACAGTTGGAGAGCCAGGAACAAGCAGAGGACAAGAGAGCGAGACAACGTGTGTCGCTGTTTTGTCTGTTATGGCGTGGTTCCCAGAGGGCAGTGCTTTGTTTCCCTGAGGGAGGGCATGTCTTGTCTTTAACTTTTAATATTTCTAATCAAAAATATATATATTTGCACGTATTGTAATCAAATATCTTCCCACAATCAAACCTTAATTGTCAAATGGTTATACTGTTCTTAGTTTAAGCACTTGATAAAAGGAAAACAATTGTCAGTAGTTCAACTTTGAGGCTAGCATGTAATACTTATTTTGTCCACTTGGGGCAGCTCGGTTTACATGAGGATAGCTCTGATTAATCCTAAAACAATCTTCTCAGGAGCTGGGGAATTTAGTCGTTTTTAACCTTAAATTTGAGCTGGAAAATGAATCGAGTATAGAATGACATTTCTTTATCATCATTTCTAAAGGAGGTGTCAGAAAGTATTGTGAACAAAGCATTGGTTACAAATAAAATGAATAAAGTCAGGTGACCTTGCTGAAAATTAAAACACTGCAAAATTAACTTATTGATCACAACAACATGGTGACATAACTACTCAAATGGAGTGGAGAGATCTAATCAAGTAACTAAAAGATTATTTAATTAAACAGGGTAATGGCAAGTTATGAGGAGACAGTATTCCTTTGTACACACAAAGGAATGTGGACTGTGTCCTTTCTCCGGTGTCTGGAGTTTCTCACACCTGCACTGGGTTGCACCAACTATGTGTAAGTTCAAACCTAGTTTGAACGTAATTTCTAACTTAAGTCGGAGTTTACGTGCTACTAACGTTTTAAGGGTTGCACCAGCTGAAATGCGTCCAACGTAGAAATAACTTACAACTTAAATCTTACACCTAGTCCTAAATAGGTGTAAAGTCCTCCATAAAATAGTCAAGTGGTTGTCATGGCACGTCGTTTTGAAGGGGGGGTGACTGGGATCAGGAGGAGCAAATTACACCGGGCTCTTCTGCGTAACCGAGCACACACAGCCTGGATGACAGCTCATTTCGGTTAATGAAGCAAAATGCAGATCACAGACTGGAATTAAAAGTAGCGAAATTAAGAGTAGATTACTAGCCTAAAGAAAATATTGGATTAAAGAGTAAAAATATAAATAATAAAGGAACGTGAAGAGGCAATGACTTATTTTTATTTATTTATTTTGCAAATTTGCGTTACTTGTAACAGGTTACTAACCACCCTGCTGCAGGCACCCTCACTGCTGTCTTCAGGTAGGCTGTAATTATAGCAGCACAGTAGAAAAGTCTGTAATATTGAGGCACTTAGCTGAACCTGCCTCCAGCAAACTCGTATTTTTTCTCCCTTAACTTTTCTGCATCTCCTTTGCGTTGTGTCGGATGTTTTCTATAGGCCTAACTTACTCCTTCTCTCAGAGAGAGAGGAGGAATTTTGAGTCTCCAAATTGTTTAATATAAAATGCACACTGTTTGTTCACAACAATCACAACCGTTGCTTGGGAAGTGGCGTACGCACGATTCCAGCCCTGTTTTGTACATAGGCACTGTTTATAAATGAGATCCAGGTCAGCAGTAAACTGCAAGATGCTTAAAGTCTCCTAAAATGTCATCACATGACCTACAGGTAGCTCTTACCACAGTTGATGTGAAAGTACATCTACCATCAGAAAGAGACTGCACTAGTCACTAGTCTAGATTTTCATGGTAGGTGTGCAAGGAGGAAACACTTCCCATCAAAACATATACCATCAACATAAGGGCAAGACTAAAGTTGGCCAAACACCTAAAAACCAAGATTTCTGAAACCATGTGCTTTGGACATCCTCAAACAACCTTAAGTAAAAGTATGCAAGCATTATTAGCAAAATGTACTTAAAATTGCCAAGAGTAAAAGTCCTCAGATAGATAGATAGAGCAAACACGCATGAGGGAGGTTAAGAGGAATGACTTCCTGTAACTCCCCTTACTGCGACTGAAATACTTTGACTGACTGCTGCATTAATGTGTATGTTGCATTATAATGCTGTAGGGTTGTGCTAAGTTTAACTACTTTATATATTGTCACCACGTTTGGAGATACATGGTTTTCACTGGACAGGAATAGTATAGAAAATTTTAATCTAAAAAGTAACTAATAATAATTAATGTAGCAGAGTAAAAAGTAAAATACTTGAAGTATAAAGTAGCATAAAAGGGAAATAGTCAAGTAAAGTACAAGTACCTCAAATTTGTACTTAAGTACAATACTAGAATTAATGTTCTTAGTTACATTTCACGACTGATCAACTGTGAATTATGGGGGTTGATATTTCAAGGTTCGGGGCTGCTTTGCTGCAGCAGGGCCTGGCCAACTCACTATCATAGATTTACTTTTTTATTGTTTCAGAGGGTGCTTGAGGAAAATGTGAAACCATCTGTTAAAAAATTGAAGCTAAAGCAGATGTGGAGATGGCTCAAAAGAAAGACATGTCTCAAAGCCCGACTCCTATTGTGATGCTGTGGGGTAACCTGAATTGGGCCGTGCATGCAAGAACCCCCTCAAACATCACACAGCTGATATTCTGCATGGAGGGGTGGGAAGAACTTTCTTCCAGTCAATGTAAGGGACTGGTAACATTTAAAGTAAATG